TTACCTGAACTGCTAACGGAACGATAAATCACTCCCGAAGTTGCACTTAGAGTTTTAATAATTCTTAAAATAGAGACAAGTGAGTTAGGTAGATACTTAGCTTTAGTAATACATTTTTAATATAAAGCATATATATGTTTAATAAAGCACACATACCTAGCCTGACAGAGAGTTTAAAAAAAAAAAATAATAATAATAATAAATTTTAATTATAACAAATAATAAACTAAATTGAGTATTTTAGTTGTTATAGTTAAAGATGGGTCCCTAAAGGATGAGGCAGGAACAAAATTCAAATGTCATTCACTAGGAAATATTAAAATTTTTAAATTAATAACTATAAAAAAACTATCTATAATTGTTCTCCATTATTCAAATTATTGATTTATAGTATTTTCAGACTTTTGTCCCTATTAAAATAAAGAGCTATTAATTTTGTTTCTCAAAAAGAAACATAAGTAATCTGTGAAATTTTATATACTAAATACTTTAGGGACCCATCATTAGTTATAGTATCAATATCAGTCAAGAAGCAAATCTGATAAAATGGTTAAAATATTTAAGAATACAAAACAAGAAAATAATTATATAATAGAAAAAGATATAAAAAAAAGATATGTAGTATCATTTCAATACAAAAAAGTCTACTAGAAGAACTCAAGAACTGAAAATCTCAAACTCCAAGGCAATGTTAGAAAGAATAATTGAAAAAATGATTTATAAAGACTAGAATCTTTTCATAATTTCTCAAAATAATAGGATAAATTACATTGATATTTGAAAACTGGAAAGAAACTATCATTAGAAACATCCAAGAGGGAGTATATCAAGACCATTTGATAGAAATACTTCGATGCAATCTTGAATTCAACAAAAAACTATTTGTGAACTAATAAAGTTTAAAGGTTTTTTATAAGCATTCAAATATATATACTATAGGAAATTTTTTCTTTTTTTTTTTTTTACAATCAGATACGTAAATAAGATCGGCAGTCACCAACATTGACGCCGGTTGTTTAAAATGAGAATCACAGAAGTAAAAAGCACGACACGCGAACAACGTATCGCACCTCATACGCACATTAAGGGGCTTGGTTTAAATGAAGAAGGCAAAGCCTTTCAGCTTGGCGATGGCTTTGTGGGGCAAAATTCCGCGAGAGAGGTACGTCTTCGTATACGCTAGTCGCGAAATATTATACTTATACTTTTTTTTTTAGGCTTGTGGAATTATTGTTGATTTAATAAAATCCAAGAAAATGGCGGGCCGAGCTTTACTTTTGGCTGGCGCACCTGGCACTGGTAAAACCGCGATTGCCCTCGCTATATCTCAAGAACTAGGTCCAAAAGTACCTTTTTGTCCAATGGTTGGTAGTGAGGTATACTCTTCAGAAGTTAAGAAAACAGAAGTATTGATGGAGAATTTTCGGAGAGCGATAGGTAAATTAAAGGTCGCGTTTTGTTTTTAAATTGTAAAGAATCCATCTAACTTACGGTTGTTTAGGTTTGAAGATCAAAGAGACCAAAGAAGTTTATGAAGGAGAAGTAACAGAACTTTCACCTGAAGAAGTAGAAAATCCTTTGGGTGGATATGGAAAGACTTTATCCCATGTTATCATTGGACTTAAAACAGTCAAAGGAACAAAACAATTGAAACTGGATCCAAGTATTTATGAGAGTATACAAAAGGAAAGAGTTACAGTTGGGGACGTTATCTATATAGAGGCTAACACAGGAGCTGTAAAAGTACTTTACTTTCTGGCGATTTCATATTGATTTTCGGTTGCTACGTAATATATTACTGTTAAGTTAAAATTACGTTTTTAAATAGCGAGTCGGACGATCTGACGCTTATGCTACCGAGTTTGATCTAGAAGCTGAAGAATATGTTCCTCTCCCAAAAGGTGATGTTCATAAGAAAAAGGAAGTTGTTCAAGATGTTACGTTGAATGATCTGGATATAGCGAATGCGCGACCACAGGTAGGTATTTAATACGGATTAATAATTATCACCACATAAATGTGCCTCATGGTGTCCTTTCTTTTCAAGGGTGGACAAGATATTATGTCTATGATGGGTCAATTGTTAAAGCCGAAGAAGACTGAGATTACGGATAAATTGAGAAAAGAGATAAATAAAGTAGTCAACAAATATATAGATCAAGGCATCGCGGAGTTGGTTCCGGGAGTCTTATTTGTGGATGAGGTTATTGTTAACGCTATTATGGCATAGTTTTTATTTTATTTTATTTTAGATGCGTAGTATGTGCATGTTAATGATACGGGTATAATTTATTCAAGGTGCACTTGCTAGATATCGAATGTTTCACTTATCTAAACAAGGCATTAGAGTCTACTATATCGCCAATAGTAATTTTTGCTACGAATAGAGGGATGTGCCAAGTAAGGTAGCGTAATTTATAATTTCGTAATTAGCTGATGGGATTGTATAATTATATGAAAATAATTTTTCTAGAGGAACAGAAGATATTGTTGCTCCCCATGGAATACCCGTTGACTTGCTTGATAGAATTTTAATCATCCGTACATTACCCTATACTCTGGGAGATATTAAATCGATAGTTCAAATACGCGCAAAAACAGAAGGACTTACATTATCAGAAAATGCTTTAAATCACCTAGCTGAGTCTGGTGTTAGAACCTCATTAAGGTACATTTAATCTGTCCATATTAGATCGTAATATAATTTAACGACCTATTATATTTATGCAGATACGTTATCCAGTTGCTTACGCCTGCGAGCATTCTTGCTCGGACTAATGGACGCGATACTATTGAATTGGAGGATATTAAAGAAGTGGATGACCTATTCTACGATGCAAAGTCTTCTGCTAAGGTTCTTGCCGAATATCAGAGTAAGTTATTATTTTATTGAATTTGTTTTGAATACGGTCTAATAAAATAAAAATTTTTATTTTTTATTTATAAATATAGCACGTTATGTTTCTTGACTATTATGAAGAAAGAATTATGAATGTGTTATTCCTGTAGGAACTTTGAGTGTCGAATAATTAAATTTGGAAACAATTTGTGAAATATATTGGGAGATAATTTTTGGTGATTG